ACACGTCTAACCCTGAGAGTCAGGGACGAGCGGGGCCTGGAGCTCACCAGCTGGCCAGCCAGAGCCAACCAGCCTGCCACACACCAGTGTCTGAGGAATTAACACCGAGTTACCTGTTAGCCTCCACACACACACACACACACACACACACACACACACACACACACACGTACACTCATGCATACACACATACCTAGCTTCTACATTCTAGAACACATGCCCCTCTGACACACACCCACACTGTGGACCACGGATGAGCTAGAGAGACGGCCAGGAGAAGGGCTCAAGTGTGTGAACACAGGCCGCAGGGTCAGGCCTTCACTGCCCCCTGAAGGAAGCCTTGGAACCATCATCACTCATTGTCAGGAAACTACTGTTCTCTGGAAGAAACAACAGCTTTGAATTGCGGTGGTTCTGGGTTTAAACTCCAACAGTTCAGGAAGAGAGGAAGAAGAAAAGGGGAAGGGAGGAGAAGGAAGGGAAGGAGGAGGAAGAGGAGGAGGAGGAGGAAGAGGAGGTAAAGGAGAAGGAAGGGGAGGAGGAAGAGGAGGAGGAAGGAGAGGAGAAAGGGGAGGAGGAAGAAGAGGAGAAGGAGGACGGGACCAGGAGGAAGGAGGTTACAAGGCAAGAAAGAACAGTGGATAAGAACACTAGTTCCCAAGAAAGTTCTGGAGGTGGCGGGTTCTGAGCAGCGATTTTGGGGATGTTGACTTCAGGCTCTTTTTATCTCTGGACAAAGAATGAGATGGCAGCTGATTAAAACCACGTTTCCCCTAAAATTTTCAAAGTTCTGAGCTGTTTATTCCAGCAGCTTCCGCCCAGTTCTGAGAAAGAGAAACAAACTCTCAGCACTCAGCGCTCACACTTGGTTATGTTGGGGGGGTGGTTTTTGATTTTTGGTTGTTTGGATTTTAGGACAAATGCCCCCTGCCGTCCTGCTGTGGTGGCTCCACTCGTGCATTCACCAGCTGTGGCTTTGAACGGCCAACATTTGTGCCATCAGCGGCCACGGACCCAGCAGGACCCTCGCACAGGACCCTCGCACGTGGCTGTGCCCTGTGGCACTGTGAGCTGCTTCCCTCTGGGGGCCCAACTACCCACGACACTAATTACCCCACAGGAGGCATCTGCAAGTGGAATATCCACCGTCGCCAACACCATGACTATCACGATCACCAACAAGCATCACCACCTCCACCACCTCCTCCACCTCCACCACCACCACCACCATCATACCACCACCACCACCACCAACTCCTCCTCTTCCACCTCCTCCTCCTCCTTCTCCTCCACCTCCTCCTCCTTTTCCTCCACCGCCTCCTCCACCTATTCTTTCTCCTCCATCTCCTCCTTCTTCACCTCCTTCTCCTTCTCTTCCTCCATCTCCTCCTCCACCTCCTCCTCCTACACCTCCTCCTTCTCTACCTCCTCCTTCTCCACCTCCTCCTCCCTCTCCACCTCCTCCACCTCCTCCTTCTCCTCCATCTCCTCCTCCTTCTCCTCCATCTCCTCCTCCTTCTCCACCTCCTCCACCTTCTTTTCCTACTCCTTCTCCACCTCCTCTTCCTTCTCCTCCTCCTCCACCTCTACCTCCTCCTCTACCTCCTCCTCCTCCATCATCACCACCACCACCACATACTTGGAAATGGGGTCAGGGAGATGGGCCAGCAGGCAACAGCTCTCTGAGATCAAGCAGGAAGGTGTGATTTCTGACCCACAGAAGGACCCAGCCATGGCCACGCCCACCTGCGACTCCAGCACTAGGGCTGCGGCTGCTCACACAAACATGGTGAGTGCGGGTGTAATGAGCGGCCCCGACTCAAGAGAAGAAAATGCAGAGCAATAGGCCACCTCCACATGTGGATCTTCACACACGTGTATGCACACATGCACACGCGAATATTGTAGGAAGATTGTGTAGCGCAGATACTTACTGATAGGGAAGGTTGCTGCCTGGTCAGCTAAGAAGCATGAGTAGAGCGTTCACAGACAGACCCTGTTTTAAAGGCACAAGCAGAACCACAGCCGGCAACGCACACGCAGAGCACGCTCCTTCCACACCTCCCGTCATCCTTATTTCATTTCTGTTTTTACAACACTTGCACCAGGCTGTTAAACTTTTATATTACGATCAGAAGGAACGCATGACGGTTCTGCAAACGCCTGAGAAATGTAGTCCAGTTGGGTGTGCACGCAGCGCACACTCAGGTCTGGCAGGCCATGTGCGCGCTCCTGCTGGAGTGGTGTGAGATGCCGGCGTGGACGTGCGGCTCTTGCACAGCGCTGGGTTTGGTTCCCAGCACCCGGGTCAGGTGGCACACGATGCAGGGAGGTGACACCCTCTTCTGGGATCCTGGGGCACTCTCTCTCTCTCTCTCTCTCTCTCTCTCTCTCTCTCTCTCTCGTGCGCGCGCGCACGCGCGCGCACACACACACACACACACACACACACACACACACACGAGTATTCCTTTAAATGTCTACACACAAAATAATCATTCTTTTTTAAAATGTAAAATTACTAAAAAAAGTCCAGAAGACGCTCCTGTGTGTCACAGCGGCCGGCAGTGCACAGCACACCCCGCTGGCCTTGATGAGACACACTTCTCACACCAGAGATGCCAGTGGGCACTGTGGCAGCCAGCGTGACAAGGCTCTGACACGCCACTGACCTTAGGGTTCAGGAAGCCCATGTCAAGGTAGTCAAATCACACACACACAAACACACCACACACACGCAAATGTACCACACACACACCCATTTGTCCGTGCACACACATGCACACACCCCCCTCCACGGCACCCCTCCTGGTGCTCACCCATGAAAGAAACAGGGTTTCTAAGACCAACAGAAATGCTGAGCACTGTTCCCCGGATGACATGAACCTTAGAATGCTCACTGTCTGGATTATTCACAAGACCGTGCAAGAAGGCTGTCCGAGGACCTTGCCGGGGGCACACGTGAGATCGCAGATCCAGCCCGGGCCGCTGGAGCTGCCCGCAGTGGAAAACTCCACACACCGAGGAGAAAGGCTGCCGGGAACGGGGCTGAGATGCGAGAGCCACCAGTCTGCGCCACCGCCTTCCCACCCAAGTGTGCAGCACGCTGAGCATGTATCCCGTCAGGCAAAGCGCGGCTGAGTGTGCCCGAGTATGTGTATGTGTGTATTTGTCTGTCTGTGTGGATGTCTATGTGTGTGTGTATCTGTGCATGTGTATTTTTCTGTGTGTCTGTGTGTGTGCACGTGTGTGTATGTATGTAAGTGTCCATGTCTATGCATGTGCCTGTGAGTATATGTGTACACACGTGTGTCCACGAATGGGTCTGTGTCTGTGCTTGCCGCACCTTCCAGTAGGTCACAGAGAAACAACCAAACTACCACGTGAGCAGCTACTGCTCAGCGCCGTGTGAGTGTGGACAGTGTTCCGCTCTTGTGGGAGCTGAGCGAACTTAGAGCAAGGAAACTGTACCACACACTCCGTCCTCCACTCTCAGCGACCGGCTGCCTCTCCCTCCCCGAGCGGCTCTGTGGGCTCTCGGGCCCACAGCTTCCTCAGGGTCCAGCACGCTCCCGAGTGTGTGCTGAGCCTGCTCGCTCTCATCCCCGCACGCCTGGGGTGTTCACACCCGGGACCTGGGTCTGCGATGTGTTGCTCACGGTTTGTGGGTTTTAAGACTAACACACACACACAGTTACTCCGACCCAAAAGCGAAGCTCTAGGTAACTTGTAAACCTCCCGATCGCATTGTGCGCCTTGTGCTCCGAGCACCGCAAGCTTGCACACACAAGCAGTGTGTGTGAGCACACATGTTGTGTAGCGACGTCCCTTTGCTCCCGGCCACCCTGAGGCTTGGCCTGCAAAGGGCACACTGTGAGGGGCACACGGAGGTCCCAGCCACACTTGTGCATGGCTCTGCCACGCAGGCTGGGGTCGGCTCCAGGGTTTTCACTATTTGGAAGCTGAAATGGTGCCTGTTTCATGACTGTGTGAACTGTGTCCTTGGGGAGGGGCATGGCTTTACCCCCCCATTGATGATCTGGGCCCCTGAGAGCCTCCCCCCCAGCCCTGCCATGGGCACCCCTGAGGCTTTTAAAGCTGGGATGTGAAACTTCCAACTGTGAGCCATTTCCACACACTTTACCTACTGGGCCATCTCCCAGCCCCATTCGGATGCCCCAGACACGAGAATCCAGGAGAGAGAAAAGCCGCCCTCACACCTTGCAAATCCAGAGAGGGCACGGCCCTCACCCCAGCCCTGCGCGGCCTTTGA